ATAAAGCCATGTCCATCTTAATGAAAACCGAAAATGTATTTTCCACTGCACAGGCTCAAGGTCATTTAGATATCAATACAAATGATCAACATAAAAGCTGCACAGATGAGTCACTGTTTTCAGGAACAGTCTCTGCAAACAGTAAGTGTACCATATTCGAGGATGGAAGGAACCAGTGCAACTGAAAGAAAGGAATAAGAAGCAAATCTGCCAAATGGCTAAAGTATCTGGTAATCTCACATTATCCAAGAGCTCTGCAGTTACAAATATCACACTAATAAAGTATCCAATGGTAAACATTTCTGTTTTCCATAGAGTTGCATACAGACACTGATGCAAGATTCCCCTTTTATGAAATTCTAACTAGAACTTCTGCATGGATATTTCACTTATCTTGAGATAAAAATTCTTTGGTTAACACCCATAACTAGGCATTTCAACTTTCCTGACTGTAAATTTACTTGACAAGTAGCAAGGATAAATAGCAAAGAATAATGTAGCACAAAATTTTAAGTTGTTCTGAACATCATTTACTTACTCATATTTCAATATTTTTTTAAAGTATATCCAGGCTTACAAAGAAAATATAGAGGTTCTTTGCTAAGCTTCTCTTCATGCAATATTTCACAACTTTTAAACAATTTCTACTTATGAAAAAACTATTAATATTCAAGGTTCAAAGTATTAAAATTAAGCACAAAAATATTAAATCCATTCATAAAGATCATTATACAACCCCAGACTTTGTGATACACAACATATGATCCTAACTTTCCTATGCTCAATACTGTAAATATCACTAATCACTGATCAGATAGCAAGGAAAAATCAAAATTAATCTGTAAACCTTAAAACATACAAACTTCTTTATTATCAGAACTTCAAAACTGGAATGGCAGATTCTTGATCCTTAAGGGCAAATGTTCGAGTCCTTTTCCTGTGCACCTGGAGGATACTCAGCCTTCCTGAGGAGTCCTTCCTTGTATCCTCCATCCTTGGCATAGTGTCCTTCAGGTCCATGAAGAGCATGCTCTCTGATGAATGTCTTGACCTCCTCATCGTTCACAACTGCCATCTCAAGGCTGCATCCCCATGCAACAAGTGCCAGGGGCTGTAATACACGAAAATCAAAAAATCAGAACTGCTTTTGAAGACATGGCATGAGAAGTAAAAACTGCTCTCTTGCATTTTTATATTTAAAATAAATATTCACATTATTCATAACTAGAATCTCACAGAATTTTCATTAATAATATGTACAAAAGAAATTTTCTATTTGCTCAAAAATCCTTACCCTTATTTTATGCTCTACAGTACTCTATGAAAATGATTTAAAATATATCCTGTGACAGAACTCCATAAATACATAACTATAACAGACAGTATCACAGTTAAGGTAACTAACCTATGTAATCACTGTTCTAGATTACATCTTTTCACATACTAAAGCTACAAGAGGGAAATGAAAGGTGGTAACATTAAAAATTATATTAGCTTGCAATGACAGCAGCTCAAGTTCTAGTTAATCATGGTTTGCTCAAGAAGTACAATAACTGAATAAACAGCAGATATCAAAACAGTGAAAAACAGACTGGTAAATATCTGAGGAAAGAGAGCTATAACATCTAATTATCATATGATAAATATTATTTTCTTTAGAGGAGTCCCTCCATTTTTTACCCAATGGTGTCTTGGTTTGATTTACCCAATATATGCAAATCTGCACACACATTGTGCATACGTGACTGTGTGTGCATTCATGCACACACACATGGTGTGCATGAATAAACGAAAATGAGGAACAAAGGAGCAAATGTTAAAAATTAATACTCATTTGTCTAAAATAATTTGAAAAAAAAACTTAGTACTTCTGCACTTTACATCCTATACACTTCACTAAAGCTTGCACTCCTGTTTGAGAAAGAAACTGATCCACCAACCCACACTTTGGGTTATCCTGTGTTAGATAGTCTTCATTCTTTTTTTATCTACACAATATAAATAGACAGTGAACTGTGAGATAAATCTATGATGCATAAATCAAATACATATTCAGCCTAAACATATATACAATATAAAGTTACAATTCACTTTCCTACTACAAACCAACACAAGCTAGACTTCATATAACTTCAGTACAAATCAGAATTCTGAAAAAACTCTAATACCCATTACAGTAATATAATTTCTATAGTAAAAAAATACTTGATGTTTGGAAGTATTGATATATGCCAGACAAAATTTGACAATGAGAAAATTATCCAAGCTAGATTAGATATTCCATTACTGTCTAATCTTTTTTATCTTAGAAAATTGTTCAAATAAAATCTAACCACTTGCTGGTAATACGTATGGTCAGTCTCCTGTTATGGATTTACACATTCTAGTTCAACAAAGAATTTTTACCTACACAGATATCTCACTGCTGCTTTAAGAAATTTTGTGTTCTACCTTTTCTACAAAAAAGTGAAGCATGTAAAACATTAATTCTAAGGAACAATCACTACAATGCAATTACTCTTCTACTTACAGACTGTATGCAAGAAACAACTTTCACCCATTCCCTCCAGGTAATTTTGACTGTTACCTGGGGTTTAATCCAGAGCTAGGTAATTACAAGCTGCTTATTGCCATGCAAATTACCCAAGTAGCTGAGTTTATGTCATTGTATGGTAGTCAGGAACAGAATCAATTTTATTAGGATAACAAGCTAGAACAGAAAGGATGCAAGTGTACCATAAGAATTGCATTTTCCATTTTCACTGGCTTTTCACTGGCACAATAGGCCATGAGAAATTGAGGCTTAAATATTAAAGGGTGGTACTACAGAGTCTAATCTTGCATATTCCTCTGAAATTATGCTCAGCACAAGAGTAACTCACATCACCTAGGTTAACAACCATTTTGTAAATGACGTGGACATCATATCACGCAAATGTGGGAGAGGAGTGGAAGGTAGGGAACATGCCACATATATGATTACTTCAATTTAGAGTATGGGAAGTGTGAAACTGTGATCATATCTGATAACAATAAAACAAACACCAACTTGTAATGAACCCCTGAAGCATAGGGCCCAACTGGACCTAACTGACACAGTCCCTGTGTAGTCCAGAGTTACCTATGTTACCTAACAATGTGGATGTGTTAGACAGCCTGTTCAATTAGAGTGAGTCGAATATTGGGAAGAGGATGGAATTCCATTTAAGTAGGGAGCCACTATGTAATAAAAAAATATATATTGGTAAAGTAACTTAAAATAGGTTTTAGATAAGAGCTCATGAGCCACGTTACTGTCCTGACAAGTGGGCATCATCTGATACAGCTCCCTGCCCAAAGACTACTCTCCACTTTCACTAAATTACATTGCATGTAAATCATTGCATGTCATAATGCTACAAATGAAGCAATTACTCCACAGTTTTGTTTTGGTAAAACATTCTATTGCGTTGATACTACCATAAAAATTAAATGTAAAAATACATTTGAGTCATAACCTTAAAACGGGAATTCAGTGTATAGTAGGCCATTTTCTTACTGTTTTATTAACCAAATAGTTGACTGTCGCTTCATTTTGTGGCTGATAAACATGCACATCACCTCATAAAGCCTCTTCTTATATTTCCTATGGTTTCTATAAAACTGATCTATAGAGCAAAATAAGTTATATCATAAAATGTTCAAAACTGATGATTCTTTCCTATACATTGCAAAATTACTAAGTCAAATTTGAAAAAAAAGATGTTTTGGTGCAACTCTCATCCCTTCTTCATGTATGTGAATTCCCACTTACACACTTTCAATGCAGGCATGAGGATACATAGTAATGTAGAGATATATAAACATTTAGTAATTTATAAATAATTATGTTCATATCAATGGTAGCATTATAGGGGAAAAATTCTAAAATAACATAAAACAAAACCAAATAAATTATGAAAGTAAATTTTTTTTTTTTTTTTTTTTTTTTTTTTTTTTTTTTTTTTTTTTACTTCAGGCAGGATTACTGGCTCATCTTTATCCTAACCACATCAGGGTTCCTTTCGTTTGTGAATAAATTGCCCAGAAGCATCTAGTACCACATTTAGCAATTTCTATTTGTGCATTTTGCTGAAGTGATGTATGTGATGAAAACAATATTGAAAATGAAAAACTGTCAGGCACATCTTGTCAAAAGATACTACTATTCAATTTTTTTGAGATAAAAAAAGAGAAAGAAATTTGATGTATCCTGTATAAAGGAAAAAAGGATAAATGTTTCATCAATAATAAAAAAGAAACTAGTTTATTTAGTCACTTTTTATCCTTGTAACTGGAAAGGTGTGTATACTGCAACCCAAAACATAGAGTGGGGAAATTTTGTGTCCTTCATGCCTCAATTTTTCCCTCAAGTGGCTGACTACAAGCTCTACTTTGTTAAGGCCTTGCAAAATAAGGGGAGATGTTTACTCATCACATTTATTAATATGTTAATTATTTTATGTACATTTAAATTGCATCTGGCCTCTTTTTATCATTATCCTTTTTAAATACAACTACTTTACTTGAGTACTTTATTCTGAGAGTGAATTCTGGAATATACTCTATGGCCTGTTTCGAAAACTATTGTTATACTGTCCTACAATGAAACACTATAAATCAAAGAACAATTATGTTTAACTAAGAAAAATACATGCACCAATTGGGCGGCCAAGAGTGGTTGTTCCACCGTCAAACAGCTGTCTAGTAAGTTTCCTCCACATCCACCAAACCCCCAATACACTCTTCCCCTCATCACCCTTCTTCTCCCTGACTCGTAAGGTCAGCGTGAAAGAGTAATTCTGGTAATCATGGCATGTTTATCCAGCCACACCATCAGCCACACCTTACACAAAATAGAATAGAATATTTCAAACAATCACTGCTTGTTTTCCCTTTTGTTGTTTTATAATCTACATGTGTGTGTGTGTGTGTGTATATGTGTGTATATGTGTGTGTGTGTGTGTGTGTGTGTGTGTGTGTGTGTGTGTGTGTGTGTGTGTGTGTGTGTGTGTGTGTGTGTGTGTGTGTGTGTGTGTGTGTGTGTGTGTGCGCGCGCGCGCGTGCTCTCAATGTTACTGTTGTTGCCATAGATTTGTCTCCACCCCTATTTTTAAGAACTGTATTCAAGATGACAAATTTCATTTCATTGTTGAATTACATCATTTTAATATCATTACAGATTGTTAGTTATTAATATCTTAAAATCACCAATGAAATGATGGTGAATTATAAGCAGAAAACTTCTATGCACTTGGCCACTTCCATCCAACTTTTTTCTTTGACTGTTAACCCTTTGAATGCCTTACTTCTTTGATTGTTTTGAAAATATCACTTAATAAATCAACAACACTTATGAATAAGATGATATAGAAGTTTAGACTTTCATATTCAGTTAAAGAATAATAAGAATATCTAGGTATAATTCAACATGAACTATGTAATAATCTTTAGAGCATACAAAAACATATGGTAAACATGACATGAAACTGTATAGATACTACCTACTTTGCAAATGCATCATATAGCTACTTTTAGTGGTCCTTCAGCTGCTTATGGTTGAGGGATTATTTCAAATATGATTTTTTCTTAGGCCATTACCCTGTGCCCAAGTATCCCAAAGCAATTACTTGATAACAGAAATAATGGCTATATTGCCTTGCTTAGAATGGCAAAAAAAAATTTTATGTTAATTTTGGAGATTTTTCTTCTTATTTCAACTCACTAGCATGGGTTAAGTACAATACTTTTCTGCTTTACTACTTCACCATATATTTAACCTATGACACTAAAACATACTTCTGTTGTGCAAAAGCTAGCTGATGATAAACCCAACTTATATGATAAATAAATGCTTTTATATTTTATGCATACATTTCTCTATTCTTTTTTCACTCAAATACATGGGTTAATTACATTACTTTTCCTGCTTTATTACTCCACTACTTGAGATAAAATAGTGAAATATTATATTTTTGTTGTATATTTTATGGTATTGAAAAACCAAGCAATTGAAAAAAACTATATGCTTTGGAGAAACTTGAAAAAATAAGGCCTTAACTTTTGCTGGAAGGACAGACAAGCTGGAAACATTATTATTCTGATGAGCTGAGGGACCACACAATGCTAGGGAGACCCAACTGTGCCAGAGGCAAAATACTCACCCGCTCCCTAGTTAGCAAGGTGTATGGAGTGATGACATGCTTTCGAAAACAACCAGTTACCAATCTGCGAAGCCGATTCACAAGCACTGTCTCTGCACATGGATCGTATAACATCACAATCCCTCCATGCTGAAATCAATTTCATATCAATACCATACACATTGATCTGTACTATCCTTACTTACTCTGACATTACCCAATAAATATTTATTAAACTGATTATGGAGAAATGAAAAGACACTGTAATATTCACTAAAAAAAAGACAATCTAGCCAGTTGTGATATATATTTTTAAATAAATATTTGAAAAAATTACCATCATGTATCTAGAGAAAAAATAAATTGAAGTGTGAACTGTACATTATCAATAAGAATATACATCCAGGAAAAATACCTCAATGGTATGTAGCCATCGCTGAACTGGAACGAACTTGTATTCTCCATAGACAGGCCAGATGGGGCGATGAGGCCCAAAAGTTGGCAGGGTTGTGTTGTATTCAATGGGTGTGTTCATGCACAAATGTTGTGGAGAGTAGCCCTTTGGGATGTTGACACATGCCTCCTTTGATTCCAAGTGTGCTAACACCGGGATTGTGTGCTTTTTGGGGTCAAAGCAGGTATAGTTGACTGGTGAAAAGTCCCAATCAATGGTAAGATTAATCTGCAAAAAATAATAAAATAACTAATATTTCTGAATAACTTAAAAAAAAAAAATTATTCAATCACTAAATCATTGCAAAAGTGTATCCAAATCATAGTGGTATATAAATCTTGTATTCATTTAATTTATCACCAACTATCAGAATACCCACAAAGCGATGCATGCATTATGAACCTTTCAACAGCATAAACAATATTAGTTAAATGAGACACAGCACAATCAGATGTGGTAATAAAGATGAAGATACAATGGAAGTTCTTCCTGTGAACTGAAACCCAATGTTAGGTCTTGCCATATCCTAAGCTGTGTCAACAATATCTTTATCAGAGTATATTCATGACACACCTACTGGAGTCCTGAGCAAACCTACCTTATCTATGCCAAAATAAAACCAATATTTTATCTATATACTTCAGTCAGATAACCAAAATATAATCAAGCTTGACACAGAATTACAAATGCCTGAAACATGAAACCAAACAGAATAAGTACCTTAGCATTATCACACTGAGCATGAGGAATACCCATGGCCACACCATGCTTGTCATCCTTTAGTTCTTCAGGAAGAGTATCAGGATTGCCACGGCTGCTATCCCTGTTGAGTTCTTTAGGGGCATGAGGAAACCATTTGCCATGCCAGTTCTCTATTGGGTCAGG